AAATTTCAAGCCGATTGGACAAATAGTTTTTGAGATCATAAAGGACAAACAGACACCAACTTCGCTTTATATATATAGATAACCGGGCAAGGGGCGAGCGAGCGCGCAAAGTGGTAAAATACGAAAAAAATTCTGAACTCAAAAATAAATAAGCAAATAATGGTTTTAAAATGATAGAAACCTGCGCAGTGGTACAATGAATACGTGGTAAAAATTTCAAGCCGATTGGACAAATAGTTTTTGAGATCATAAAGGACAAACAGACACCAACTTCGCTTTATATATATAGATAGTTTTTGAGATCATAAAGGACAAACAGACACCAACTTCGCTTTATATATATAGATTAAGTCATAGGAATACTTAAAATATATATTTTTAATTTTATTGAGAAACTTTGCTCCAGACACCTGTCCAAGTTGATACTTTTCACCGTGTTATTAATACTGGTAATGAAAATGATCCAACTCTTCCTTGAGGGAAATTTCTTCTATACTACACTGAATTTTTATAAAAAAACATATTATAAAAAATTTTGCTCAGAACTACTTGAGGAGAAGAAGGAGAATATTTTTATGATGGTTAGCTGAACTTTTCTTTTAATGAACTTTGTTGAAATATAAACTCCAATATTGTGTGAATTATCTACAAGCTGCATAGCTTATGTTGCTTATCACTATTTTAACATTTTAAAAGATGGCGTTTTTTTTGTGATTTTTATAAAATATTAAATATCGAAAACACGCAAAATTGTCAACAATAAGTTCGATTATATAAATTGAGTAAAATTGGAAATGAAATACTAATAAATACCCTGACAATATTTTACTACTTCCTTGTCCAAACAGTCAGTAGAATAAGCAATTTTACGTAACAGTTATTATAAAAATACTGCTGCAGAGAAGCATTAATTCAATGATTGATAAATAAAACAACAAAAATTTCATTCTGGACGTTACGTGAGCCACTGGGATGTCATTATTTATACTTTTACTTTTTTTAGCGAATTTCCATTAAAATTAGTGATCTACTACTTGAAAATACGAGACTTTGTAGAAATTGACTTTTAAGCAAGCAATTAAACTCATTTTGCTGTGAGGTCAGTGCTTAATTAGTAGTTTCATGAGATAAATTCAACATACTTTGTTAGCACTTTTAGTTTCTGAATGAACTGTTTTGAGCCACTACTATAGTCGTCCATGCTACAGTCATATTAACAATATAAAAATTCTCTAATTTTGAACTAAATCAGACCATTTTTAGATATAATTCACTTATTGTTTGCAATATTGTTACACTGATTTAAAATTTAGTTACGAAGAAGATCAGATGACCATCTGCAATACAACATCAGTAACGTAACTTTTTACAATGCTCATTCGTCTTCGTTTTCGCCTTGACACCCTTTAACTTTTACTTTTCCAAAGGACCCATTCCTCTGCCAATGAAGGTTGATTTTTTGATTATAGAATCATAATAAATATCATGATACAGTAAATGTCAGTAGGAATTATTTATTAATTTGTACTCTACTCATACTCAATATAGTAGTACTGATCGCTCAGATGCACATAGTAGCGATGCGGGGTTTTAACGTCTTGAAAGTGTAAATAATAAATTACAAATTTACAGAAAGATGAGTGCTTTTTAATCACTCACAAACAAAGCTTACCTTCAATACATCTGGAAATGTATGATAATTATCAAGAAAACTAGTAAAGTGCTTAAAGTATCAAAAAGTACATGTCACAATCCTTCTGATACTTGAAATATGTTACACATGTAATCATCAACCCCAATGGAAAATTGTAAAAAATTTTCAGACAAAGTGTGATATAATGCAAAATAAAATTTCATTAAATCTTTTAAAAGCTATGTTCAATATTTATTTATTTGATAATTGAGGAAAAAACAATATATTTTCAATTTCAACAGGTAAATTATTTTTGAGTTTGTTATCGAAATAAGTAGAAACTAGTAGAAAGAAATATACTGATTGATACAAAGATCATAATTTTCTTGAAAAATATTCGCTTATACTTATACATATTCTCTGTTTTGAAATCTTCGAATGTTTCATCAATCGACTGTAATATTTAAATATTTCAATTATGTTTATGAATTATAAAACTCAAAACCATTGAAAATAATTTCATGGAAGCTTACCTCTAAAAGTTTTTCATAGTACTTTCGGTTAAATGCTCCATTGTTTCCAAATTTTTTTGCTTCATCAAAGTATTCTATTGCCTTGTGACGGCATCTATCATGTGCTGATTGCAACATTTTACTATTCAAATACGGTTGATCATGTCCACAAAAAGTACTCATCAATTCCTTGTACATGTTTGCTGCTTTTAGCTTTGCAAGTAAATTGTATGTTTCCTGAAGCAGATGTAATCACATGAATATTTAATTTATGCAAGAAAAAGTATTGCAAGAAAAATTAATAAAAACTTACATTGAAACAATTTTTAATTTTCAGTACATCCAAGTTTTCGTAGAAGTTTACACATTTTTTAATATGTTCAAGCAGAGAAGCAGCAGTGACAGCTTTTGGGCCTATCTTTTTAGTGACAAGATTTTCTGGTGCGAGTAACATTGTTACCAAATCTTTGATTTGTTTTCTATAATCACTCCTCATTTCTGACAAATGACTGTTCAACTTAAGATTCTCAGTGATTGAAAACCCAGGATGAGGCATAAGATAACAAGAAGTCTTGAAAAAATAGGAATTGAGATTCTGTTTCAAGGTCTGAAGTTTTAAATCTTGTGCACCCGAATTACTAAGGATGTACAGCAAATAATCATGTCCTCCTTTAGACCCATACTGGTACTCATGGGGATAGGCCCAGTTACACACAAGAAATTCCAACCTGATACATAAATATTGATTATTCAAATTATCTGTGAAAAGGAGTAAAATAATATTTACAAAAATCATTCATAAACCTTTGAAAAATTTCACTACTTGAGTTTTCTCGTGCCAACCGTCCATACTCTGTAAAAAACAGCAATTGCTGCAGATCGTTTTTGTTGATATTATCGGCCAAAACGAAGAGCTGCACAGACGACAATTCTGTGCTCAAAGCAAACACAGAAGCACACTCGTGATCCGTAATGGACAGACTGCCAAAGGAGCCCTGCGAGTTCATAATTATAACCGCAACTTTCTCACCGTTGGGCAATTCAGCTTTAAAGATTTCGGACCACATGAGAATGCCTGTAAAATCGCTCTGGGACTTGGTACGCCAGGAAAAGCCTTCAAGTGGACGAGTCTCGTCCAACCAATCTTCAGATTCATTTTTTGACTTGTACTGATAATTGTGAAGCACATTTTAAAATTAGTCTTAGATTTTGATGGATGGTGCGTTATAACAGACTAATAAAGTACTTACTCTATTATCCATGTAGCGAAGAAAAAAATTCAGCAACAAATCCTTAGACAGGTCGAAACCTCCTGCCATAGAAACGATGACTAGGCTTCGATTTTTCACGTCATCTTGATTAAGCATTCGAGCAAGAGCCTCTTCGTTGAGAATGAAATTATGATCATGAGAAATCTTTACTATTTCAATCGGATGGCCCATGATTTTAGTGGTCCTCAAGTTAGCCTTCACGAGTTATACAACGATTGAAAAAATTTTAACAAATGGTTATTTTAGTATAATTATCATCGTTCATCGTTCATCATTACGTATACGGAATCGACTATAGAAATAATTTATTCATACGGGTACATAGCTTTAGCTCGGCATAGATGCATTATTAGAACAGTTTATTGTCTGTATTTATACGCTTCGAATTTGAGAGAGATTTTTCTGACAAGGCCGAATCGCTCGCGACAAATGTTTTGATTTTGCAGCCATTCAAATGACTGTGACTTACCTCTGTCTCAAAAATGTTGATTTCCCACATAAACTTGTGTCACGAAAATGTGTGATAGAGTTAGAATATTCAAAAACACACTTGAGACTGTACCTAAATCGTGTCCCTGCTCACAAGTTTGTTACTTTTGAATTGCCTAAAATCTAAATGCGTCGCGGCCGTCGATTAGGTCAATGTAAATACGCAAGAGTAACGTTCGAGCATGAACGTTGAAACTTCATTGGGTGCGTGATTCCCAGAGCACTAGAATCCACTGAAAAAGTGGGGGAGGGTTGCCACTTGCCAGTGGGAACTACAATCTTATTACTCATGTACGCTACTTATTCTCCCACTTCCTCTCACAGCTACTTGCTCGTCATATTCATTCGAACTCCTGATAGGTGTTGAACCTTTTTCAGCCCATATTGATATTATATTCACGTAAGTATAGTGAATATACTTATTTAATTTCAAAGACTTGCTCGGCTCTCGTAAGTTATGAGCTTCTCAAATTTTAAACAACTGTTTACCTTTTCTTGAGGAAGCTGACTTGAATCTTACAAAGAATGGTGAGAAATTTCAAGCTAATTGAAACTGCGATGAAGTGTTCTTACATCCTGTTCAAAATCCGCAAAAAATACTATAGTTTCGAGAAGTGCATCTCAGCACTGTTCGTTAAAACGTTATGTAGATTCTCAGTTTTTCAAAGTTATCAATACCATTGTTCTACTTGAGTTAAAACAAAGAATCGTTACTCTTCGATGTTCGAGTCACCTTCCAAACATTGCCAAACACTAGATTAAAATTATCTTTAATTTTACCTCGATTACGCGTGTTTACTTTTGCGTGTTGGTCATTTGTTCCAATAAAGATCGAGTCGAGTCAATGGCAAATTTATTATTAATTTATTGAGATAAATAATAGTTTTTTGCGATTTGTAAATGCCACAGCATAACAAGGAAATTAATGAATTCGTTATAAACTCGTCTAGGTATTGGGTATCAGTTTTGTACAACATGCAAAAAACCGGCAAAGGTAAGCCGATCGAAATAATTCAATTTTCGTCAGAGGATAAAATCCAGTTGAACGAAAAAGCCCTTGAAAAAATCCTCAACCAAGAAGATGTACGTGATCGCAAAATCGTCGTTATATCTGTCGCTGGGAAGACCCGTTTGGGCAAAAGCACACTTCTCAACTACATGTTGCGTTATTTGCATTCTGAGGTAAACCAAATTGATATTGAAATATTCATAATAAAAACTCGATGAATGTGAGTCTGAAATTCCTTCGATTTGTTTGCTCTGCCTGCAGGAGAAAGAAAATTGGCTAAACAACGAATCGGAATCTCTCCGAGGTTTTTCTTGGAGGCATGGTTCAAAACCCGACACAAATGGTATTCTTGTATGGTCGGAAGTATTCAAACTTGATCTGGACACTGGAGACAAACTCGCTATTTTACTCATGGACACGGAGGGAATTGACGCCTTGAATGCTTCGGATACCAAATGT